CCTATTTGTCAGAATTAGTTGTTATCATTAACAGTTGAATCCAACTGTGACTTTCTCTTGAATTTTCATATAACTACATCAGCTCCCCTAGTTATGTATTTAGCGAGTTTTATGTTGTCTACTGCAACTCACTAGAGAAATTTAGCAATTATTACAGAAAACGTGACCAACATTTCACTATTGAATATTGCTCATTAGCTAAGAAAGTAAAGTTTGCAATGTCCTTTCACTTGCTAATTTTTAACCAACTAAATATCCGAACGGTAAAATATCAAGTGGTTATCACAAAAGTTGAGATGAGGTCCGATGACACAGTATTTTCGTCATTAGAGCCATTTTCTCATCCAATTCTACTCCTGGAGTAACCTGTTTTCAAAAGGGTAATGTAAATTTTCAGCTTCTCAATGTATTAGATGTAGTTTACAATTCACTTTATTGATCTCTTGATGGACAAAATATGAACCAATTCATCTGGACCAAAGTTCTTTCTGTGGTTCAAGAACATATACCAAAACCATATCCAGTCATCAGGCTTTAACTTTCATTCCACTGTTGTATTGTTGTAACATTCCTTTTCATGTTCAACTACTAAACCCATTTCTTGCTGCACAAACACTTACATGTCAGTTACTGCAAAATGCAATCACTCCACGGATTTCTGTGGACACTGCAGTTGTTCTGCACTGGCTAGAAGACAATACCTGAGATCCACTGGAAGCTGTACTTCTCATCCAATCATTAGGAGTTTTTGGAGAACAACCAGTTGACTATTGTTATATTGCATAGTATGTCATCATGATATATGTCAGATGCTCATCCGTTCAGTCAGGGTTAATAAACTTAGCAAGCATATGTTTTACAATCTGTATCACCATTTCAGCCATATAAAGACATTCAGGATGATATGGCGAAATGCACCTTTTCACAATATCTAACACTCAGCACAGCTCTGCAAATAACGAGCTGTTAAAGCTAGATCCTTCATCTATGTGGATCTCCCAAAGTAGGCTAAAGCAAGAAATCCATTGCTCAGCCAACACATCTATGAAGGACTGCTCTAATGTGCCAACCACTGGAAAAACTTTAGCCCACTCGATGATGTAATCAATAATGACCAGCACATATTAATTATCTCTTTCAGTTTCAGACAGATGGCCAGCTATAATTAAACAGATTCTCTCTCGAGAAGAACCTATAACTGTCATACAATTTTCCTATTGCAACTGGTACAATTTCTACACCATTACTTAGTATTGTGGCGTGACTTTGGACATAAGACTGCTCTAACATGTTTGTAATAGTGCACAACACTTTCTGGTGCCCTCCATTCCTTTTGGAAATCATACATTGCAATGCATACATTGTACCATGAACATCACTTGAAAGCCTGTAAAGCAAGAAGTCATCTTGTGTGCAGTAAAAGAGAGGCATCAACACAAGTTACCATGGTCATCCTTCTGAAGTTTACATAGAATCTTGGAGTTCCTTCCTGAAGACGACAATGCACTTTCCAAAAATGCTCCAAGGAAGACTGCATGTTGGTTGTTTTATTAAATGCACATCACTTGTGTCTATTTGATGACATGTTATTGTTGTGTGACCAAATAGGGCATCTGGTGCTATAAATACGTTAGATAAATCCTTCGGCAATTCACTAAGTTCGTGTTTCTGTGTTGAACTTAGGTAGTTTGCACAATCCTCAACTTTGTAAGTTGTTGTCAGACGAGATACAGTGTCACTTCTGCCTCTTTCAATGTACTAATGACCATTCCAGCTAGAAGCTGAAAAACCAAATGCATTTAGCTACAGACTAGCACTAGTATAACACTTGCTCTCGATAGGCCATTGTTTGAGCAAGTTCATCCTGCTTTCAATACAGAAAATAATGTTTACTGTATTGGTTTTATTATCAGTTAATCATGAAATACTGCTTTCACACTGTGGTGGATTAGCACATTCTTTTCAATTTGACATGTACAGTTCATTGTTCATGGGCCCAGTCTGGTTGGCACTGGATGCTTTTTGCAGAACTGTTGTTTGCCTGTTGTAGAAAAAAAACTTGGAACTTGACATTACCAAAAACGAAGTCCAAGACACCCCTCTCCAATTACGTCTAGCTTGTCACAATTTGCTAGAATAAAGTACATGCTAAGAAACTGAAGTAGTGGCTTTCCACAGAGCACCTGATATACAGCATGAGCTAGTAAATTTCTGGCTGTGCTAGTACAGAGTAAAAACTCAACCTCACACCCATGCATCTTTATCAGCGCATATAATTTAATGCCCAGTCCATATTTCTTCTAAACCAGCCACCATGACGTTAGGTGCAAGCTTACTGCTGCACTCAGTCAAGGTAACAGCCAGATCCAACTTAAGATCTACTAGTGTAATAATAATTTATGATTGTGTGGCAGCTAAGCATCGGTAGAATTATCGATGTACTGCTGTCTATGATGATGATGATGAGTTTAAATCAATAAGTACTGTATTAGCCATTGCTTATTGCAGTTGGCTTTCCCACATCTGTTGAATCATTGGTCTAATATGGTCCTGTCTGACAATAGGATAAGGACTGTTACAAAACTAGTAATCCTTTAAGCCCACAAATAAAGTATGGGTTCCTTCCCTCGTGATATGGGGATGTGTGCTTTTAGGAGTCCAAACCTGGTTGCATTTGTGGTACAACCATGATAACTGGGCCAAATATGGGGACTGTCTTGTATTGAAAAAACACCATACAAAGACTGTGATAATTCACGTCATATATAAGTATTACACACATATACATATACCTACTTTTCCACCCTATTGTTCACTATGTTATTGTTTTCAATTCTTTTGTCCCCTTGTAATGACTGAAATAGTCAGAAATTTTCTCCTTCCATAAATAGTTTAGCCTATATCTTGTGTCACGTACTTCCAGGTAATGCTTTTATATTTTTGTTCAGATGTTCGGTATGTAGTAAGGCATTCCTGTTAACTAATTGTTGAGAGTTGTAAACAAGTATAATCAGATAAAGCTTCCATATGCCAGTTGATAGAAACTCGTATCACTTTGACATCATACAGAGGTGCAAAGGTCTGACAAGAAGCTTGAGCTGATAGCCAGGTGAGTTATTATTAGTGAAGTATGTCAGTTGTTGTCATTTATAAGTTATATAATATATTAACGTGGTTGGCTTGACAGAGTGTACTAGTAATACATAGTGCTGTAATGGGGTCAAAGGCAGGAGATTTAATGGGTGTTAGGTCATGTCTTTGGTTCTCTACGTATTTGTGTTTATCTATTGAATACTAGTAATAATGCATGAATAATATTACTACACAAACTTGACATAAACCAGGACTTTTATGTTCTAATAGAATGTTCGAGCAAAAAGCACCTTAAACAGTAAAGATTCAGTTCAACCAACACTTTAATACCTTTACTATTGACTGCTAAGGCTATACACATATAAAAATTCACAAAATAAGAATGCATGCTAGACTTACAAGGAAAATAAAATCCACTCAAAACGTTCTCGTTTGTAATTCTTATTATTATTCTCTTGCCAGCCTACAACAACAACAGCTTTGTATATTGTAACCAAACCTTTTGTACCTAAGGTACTGCGAAAGTGTTAGAGGTATTGAAAATTCGAGTTGTTATACGAGTTATATAAGCTAAAAAAAACATCATAATTTCAGTGTAAACGATGTTATAATTTCCCCTGATCATCCTTTAAGAAGCTTAAGTACAAGGTGAAATAAGAATTGTCGGCCAATAATAGATGAACATTAAATGACTGTAAAATGTAGATACTCACTGCTTTGTACACTATACAATCAGTGTGTTTATGGAGTCAAACCCTATATTATGTATGAAGTGAAGGAGATTGTTTGTAATTAAGCACAAAGCTACACAATGGGCTATCTGTGCTCTGCCCACCACGGATATCGAAACCCGGATTCTAGTGTTGTAAGTCTGCAGACATACCGATGTGCCACTGGGGGTTTCTATGTCATAAAAGAATTAGCTGTAAAAGCCTGTTTTATAGTGTGGCATGTCACTTATAGTTTTAGGGTGCCCTTACCAAGGAATTTAATAGGGGAGGAAGATAATAGACATATCAACTGTTGTACAGCTTATCTACATGGACTTGAATGAGAGGAAGGCGAGTTGGACACTTCACAGGGTTAATTAATACATGTCATGGTATTAAATAAGAATATACGAAATTGTACACCGAGTTTCTTTTGATTGTCCTTTTTCAAGTTATTGATATTATATAACTGTCAACCTATTAATGTATGTTTGAATAATAGACTTGCATTGATTTATATAAATAATATCATCGATAAGACAATATATGATTCTTATGGATATTGATTTTATATAATACAAATAATTGATAATTTTATCGTTTTTGCCTTGGTGTGATCGATATAATGTTTATCAAGATATGGTGTTGGATTCCTTTATTGTATTGCAAGTTTGATTATTGCATAACTGGAAAGTTCTTACATGATTATGTTATCTGTGTTATATCGCTAAGAAGTGTTTGATTTTTATGGACCTTCAATTAAGGTGTCATTGTATAAGGAATACATAAACAAAATTAATATGTTGATCAGTATTGTATTTACGAATCACTTAAGTAATACATAAAAAATGAATATAATCTGGACTATAACATTAACTAACGGGTAAGGAAATATAAGTCGATGTTATAACGTATAATGAGGTATACAACAAGTAAGGATTTATAATTAACTGTGTAAGTGATGCTAAACGTAATGAGAGAAGTGGTATGGAGAGGTTGTATGATGGATTTTGTTTTAGTAAGAGGGAAGGATTGGAGCATTACAGATGCTTCTAGGAGAGAAAATTTAATATCTTGTGTATTCCATACATCCACGTAAGTTGCAGCAAGGATATGCACATTAACGAGCATATAATAAAAGCCCCGTAAAGACAGTTGTCCTACATAAGGAATTGTTATGTGACAAGTCGAATGAGATACCTCGACAAATTGCGACATCATTTATTTGCATAAACAACCGCTATTCTAGCTGAGAGAAAAGCTACAGAAAGTTTATGTTAAATTCACTAACTACTGAAATGAATTGGTTAACAAAAAGGAGAGATACGTGCAAATAGACAGCCAATTAACAGCTTCTGACCATATACAATTATTGTCCAGTTTTGATTCAAAGAGTGAGCAGTGATGCAAAATAATTAAGTCAATTAGATGAAGGAACTACTTGTAAGCAAAGATAGCTATTTGAGTTACAAGAATAATACCAAGAAAAACATAAAAAATCCATGTTTTGGGGTTGAAAATCAGTTCTCTCCAGCGTTTCTTGAAGTCAGATGAATCTGTATCAGTTCTCTCTGGTGTTCTTGTTCCTGTGGTCAGACCACTCTGCACCAGTTATTTCACAGGTTGCCAAATGCTGATTGAAGAAAGTGGCGTTGTGCAGCTCTTTTACCAGTTTCAACCGGCAAACTCTCTGCAAGTTTCAACTGACATCTTCTCTAATCTAGCAACGTATAGTTTCTGATGTTTGATGAAGAATTATAATTGAAACTGGATATGCTGGTATATATTTCACGTAATCATTTAGTGGATAATTTGTTAAACATAGTGTCAAAATTAATGAATCTGATAGAAGGCATACTTAATAAACAATTACATGAGCAAAACGAGGAATTTGATACGTTTGATGCAGGACACCCTTGTGATTTTCGATGTTAATGAATATTTTGAATATGGATGTAGAATAAAGTCTTGTATGTTGCTCTTATCATCAGTTTCCGAGTTGATTCTTTGTTTCACATGTAAATTTCCTGAGTTGGTGGCTTGTGTGCTCATTCAGCTACACAAACGACTTCAATTTAAATAAATTAATTTGTGACTTGTGAAAAGTTGAACCCAAACAACTGGCCTTCACCGGCTCATCCATTACAAATTTTTGATGGCCACTCTACATAACTATTTGGTTTATCCACAGAGTGAATTTTTTCATGTTTTCTAAGGTCCCAATTTCTTCCAAAATTTTTGCCACACACTACACAGCTGTATGGCTTCTCTCCAGTATGTACCCTCTCGTGGCTTTTAACTTTGCTGCTTGTTCCAAATTCTTTACCACACACTACACAAAAATATTGTTTCTCCCCAGTGTGTACTCTCTGATGTATTTTTAAGGAACTAATTGTTCCAAATCGTTTTTGACAAACTGCACAACTGTAAGGTTTCTCCCCAGTGTGTATTCTCTGATGTATTTTTAATTTATTATTAGTTCCAAATTGTTTTTCACAAACTGCACAATTGTAAGGCTTTTCCCCAGTGTGTGTTTTCTGATGCATTTTTAAGTCACTATTTCTTCCAAATGTTTTTTTACACACTACACAACTATATGGTTTCTCCCCAGTGTGTGTTCTCTGATGTATTTTTAGGTCACTACTTCTTCCAAATGTTTTTCTACACACTACACAACAATATGGTTTCTCTCCAGTGTGTATTCTGTGATGTATTTTTAAGGAACTACTTGTTCCATAGTGTTTTCCACAAACTACACAACTATAAGGTTTCTCCCCAGTGTGTATTCTGTGATGTATTTTTAACTTACTATTTGTTCCAAATTCTTTTCCACAAAGTGTACAACTGTAAGGTTTCTCTCCAGTGTGTATTCTCTGATGTATTTTTAGATTACTATTTCTTCCAAATGTTTTTCTACATATTACACAACTATATGGCTTCCCCTCTGTATGTATCTTCTCATGTTTTTTTAGACTACGTTTAATTCCAAATTCTTTACCACAAATTATACACCTGTATGGTTTCTGTCCAGAATGTGTTTCTTCATGACTTTTGAGTTCACCATTTGTTACAAATTGTTTTCCACATGTTAAACAACCATATGGTTTCTCCCCAGTGTGTATCTTCTGATGTGTTTTCAAAATACTATTACTTCCAAAGTATTTTCCACATACAATACAATTGTATGGTTTCTCTCCAGTGTGTACCCTCTCATGTTTCCTTAGGTTACCCATTGTTCCAACTTCTTTTCCACACACTACACAACTGTATGGTTTCTCACCAGTGTGTATCCTCTCATGTTGTTTTAGGTTACCCACAGCTCCAAATTTTTTGCCACATATAGAGCAACTGTATGGTTTCTCCCCAGTATGTGTTCTTTCATGTACTGTTAATTTGCTTTTTGTACCAAACTGTTTTCCACAAACTGCACAACTATATGGTTTCTCCCTAGAGCAAATTCTCTGGTGTATATTAAATTTACTATTTGTTGAAACGTCTTTCCCACAAATCACATAACTGTATGGTTTATCACCACCCTGAAGAATCTTAGATTGTTTTAGATTATTTTCATTTATATCTGTTTTTCCACACACATCACTGTTTGGCTTTAAGGACTTGACAACTTCTGTAAAAGGACCTTCTTGTCTTAAAACTTGATAACCAGGAAACTGACTTCTGCAACAAATGTTCACACTGGTCTTTATATCTAAAATCAAAATATATGATGTAACAAGCAGTTAATAAATACATCATACATTATTTATTTTGATGAATTTCTAAATATATTTTATTGGTCTAAAATGATTAACAAAAATATTAATATCAAGATATTAAAGCTAAATTAAAATGAGAATATGATTTTATTAGTTTATCCCAGGATATAAATAACATAAATAAATACATAGAAATGTCAATATTTTGATAAAACTAAACTATCAATATGTTATTCAAATAACTCAATCTACATCATCAATTACATATGAGCATTGATTAATGTAACAAAAATAATCAATTAATCAAAATTAATGTTTTTAATTATTACAAATCCAAGTAATCAAATATTGCCATCATAATTTGTCATTATTTTTCTTATTAATTCAAGTTTATTCATCTTGGTCTTTCATGAGCTGTTGTGATTAAAGAGGTTGGTTCAATTCCTGTTGCTACCAAACATGCTCACCTTCAGTCACTGTATTCTTTAAAGTTTAATAAGGTGTAGAATCTGTTTTTACATTGTGTTACATTGCAATTTATAATTTGAACAAGAACTGGAAGGGAAGAAGATTTTCATTACAAGAACCTGTATCATCATGTGTGCATGTACAACACAACCAACCTCATTACCCCCTGGGAACCAACATGCGGACAATGGTAGGAAGACAGAGAAGCAAAGTGGCAGTTCAACTCCAGTCCAGGAGCAGTTGGGATTGGGAATGAATCATCCAGTCAGCAGTAGGTGGAGGTTACCTGGGCCACTCACAGGTGAGGACTTATGTGGCTGGTCCAGTCCAACCAACATAAATATCCCCTGGGTACCGATATCTGGATTGACGGTAGGAAAGAGAGTGCCCAGCCAGAGGGGTGAACTGCATTTTGGCAGAAATCATCCAGTCCATAACCAGGTGGAATTTGTAATAGTACATCAGGTCTGTGGTAGAAGGAGTGTCTATACACCATCTACATTGGTGGAACACCACTGCTCTACTCTGAACTGAGTGGATTTGAGCACACTCAGGAGGAAGTCTTCATGGTCCACCACCCCAACAGTTAGGAACTTGTAAGTGGAAAGGACTCCCATACTGCACTCTACGAAGGGGTGGAAGCACTTTTAAGAGTCTAAAGGAATGCAGCACCCAAAACAGTGCAATGGGTGACAGCAAAACTCTATTATGGAAAGCAGATCATTCCTGATTCAGATAAATGAAGGAGTGGCAGGGATGAGCAGCAATCCCCTTCTACTTTACTCATGTTAGTCCATGAGTGTATGGTCCAGGGCGAACATTTTTATAATGCAAAACACTGCAAGTAAAAACCTACAAGCTGTCTTGTGGAACACCCCATTTCAACAGTGGATGTTATTGACCTAAATGGTTGTACAGTATGAGTTTAAGAATAAGTATGCCTGGTCAGGTAACACTCACTACTGAGCAGGATCCGTTACTGTGAGAAAGCCCTGTAAAGAAGAAAAGTAGAGAAACCATGGAGCTCAAGATGGTGACAGCAGGAACACAGTAACCTTTAGATTAGGAAATGGCCAGACAATGAAAATAATATGAAATAAATGTATGACAAAATGCCAAGGAAATGGTAAGGTGATGTATTTGATGGGAGGAAAAAGGGAAGAATAAACCAGGCAAATAAGATGACAAATCCAACCTGTAAGGGTAACATGAAAGTACTATTACCATTTTGCTATTGTATTTTAATTAAACAATATTAAAAAAAAGAACTTCAACCTATAACCCATGACCTTTATGGGAAGCAAGTACGCTATAAGGAGGAGAAAAAAAACCAACATATTTACTAAAAGAACAGATATGAAACTAAAATAACTAAAAGTAACTTAATTCCTGATTTGCTAGAAAGCTATGGTGCTGCATAATATTGTTTAATGAAAAAACTGACAAAAATAAAATAAAAATCCTAACTAACTACCAAAATTTTATCTGGCAATGCTACCATAAATACAAAATACTTTTTTTTGGTCAATTTGTGTCATGAAAAATAAACATGAAATAAGGATAGAGATGTGTGCATTTGGCCAAGTTGTTAGCTCACTCTACACTAGAAAATTGTTGTTTACAAAATAATAACTAATTTTTACCCATAATAATCTTATTCTTCTCTACCTTTAACAAGTGAAGTGGCATGTTCTCTAAAGTTTACTGTCTGTAAAGTGAAGACATACCTACAACATCCACACATAAGATTGCCTAAATGTAGATCGGTGCATTCTACTTACCACCATATTCAATGACTTAGCACATACGTGTTTATATAAAATTGTAAACTCAATCCCAAGAACTCAGCGTTTGTAACTTACATTACCGTGTGCCTACTAGTAACCTCACTAGTGGCTTTTATATAGAGATGTGTGATTTGTGAAATTTGATAATTGATTACTTGTCAGGCTCATTAATCGAATGCATTCAACTAATTGATCATTCTCAAATAAAACATGGATATTTGGAATAACAAAACAATAATAATTGATAACACTAATTTTGAATAGTTGATTATATTTGTGAGTCATGATATTAATTAACCTAAAAAACACTGAATTAATTGAAAACAATAATGAGAAATCATAATGGCAATATTTTGATTTTATGGATAGTTGGGATAATCAAAGATAGTAATAATCAGAAACATGAATTTAGATTGACTGTTTGCTTTTCTCAAAGAATAGCTTTATTTTTGCTCAGAAAATATCATCCCTTTAGAGTATATGTATTATACATTCCTTGCTTATGTATTATACATTCCAAGAGTTTCCTTTGTAGGTTTCTGCTCATTTTTTGTATACACCTTGATTAACACTTTTTTATAATGTCACATCAAGGAGTTTGATCATTTACACAGCTTTGAAAACAACTATAAAGAAAGTTCAAACATTAATGGATAGAGAGAGTAAAAAAAAAAAAGACTTTTAATGTTGTAGTCATTAAAGTGGTTTAAGCAGTAACTTATGGTTCAGTGGTATGTTTCTAGTCAGAGCTCCTGCAATACTGATAAAGGTATTCAATGAAAAGCTTTGAGAAAATGACAGCTTTTTTACAGTTTTGAGGTTTATGAATGTATCGTGTTTTTATCTTTTTGTAGTGTTATGTTTATTCCATATATGTGCAGGTATCAAAGAACAAATAGTCAAGTAAACCAATAAGCTAAACTTGTTTCAAGTTCCCTAGTTCCTTTGTTACTCTCAAGCTTCAAGGTAATTAATACCTGCTACTACCCATAGAGAACACTGCTTTATGTGATCTTCTGTAAGGATGTTGACAGTAGAAACATTCAACAGTTTTTCACATCATATGCAAAGAATAAAGCCACACCTGTGTGTACTGAGAATGACCAGTCATGTGGTAGCGCATGTCGTGTTGGGTAAATGCAAGATTTCTTTGAAACTAAGGAATCTAGGATTTGGCAGTTTGGCAGGAACAACACTGAAGTCAGCCTGGTAGATGCTCTTGATATGAGAATATCCAATAAAAGCAACAGTCTGACAATTGTAAGTACAAACACTGTGTTTGTGTTTAATATTTAATAAAGATTGTTAATTTTGTCCAGGTTGTCCGCTTGTGTCCAGGTTCATTATTCACTTTAACTCTCTCACAAGATAGATCAAAGTGTGCATGTCACAATCTTTTACAAAATTACATTCAAAATTTAATTAAATTTCTTTATTATCAATGCATATGAATAAACCTGGCTTCAAAATGTGATTAATAAACCTAAATTTAATACTATATAAATGTTACACTTTTAATTTTATAAAGACATATTTAAAAAAAAAATCAATTTCCCCTAGTATGAGAAACATGACATTTGTTTGATAGGTGTTTTACCTTTTCTAATTTATTTACCACCTCTATTTGAAGAACAGAATGTAATGTAAATTAGTCATAAAAATAGATATTACAATATCTTATTTGTTTATGGAGTCATAAACTAGAAAATCAGACACACATGCTGCACTCCTTCTTTCACAAATTGCCAATAATTCTCTGATTTTTTTATATTATAACATTTATAACTAATAAGGCAAATTTTAATCTTTGAATGATGTATAATGTTATGTTGTTTTCAGTACAGAGTGCTGTCAATTTTGTCGTCAGTTTGAAAGTATATCTCATGGTGTTCAGGTCGAGCAGCTAAAAGAATTAATTTAAGCCCCTCTTGCCTAAGTTAGAAAATCAGTTAAATCATAATAGTAAGCATTACAAATCCTTTATAGACAAAAAATCAGAATTCTTAATGAAATAGTTTTAGGAAAAATTTCTCCATGAATATTTGGAGTTAAAGTGTTGACTGCTCTGAGTGCAAAGTGATTTTCAGGTAAGATTAAAAATATTTTTCTTCATCTGAAAATTGTTAACTTTCATTTACATAATCTCTAAAACCTCCTAAATAAATATCAAATATTTTTTTTTAGGAAAAATTTATATTTTATCTGTCATTTTCTCTACCTTAACTCTATAAAGGGTTAGTCAATTTGACCACCATAAAAAAATAATCTAAATTAACTAATATAACTTCATTATTTAACAGAAAACCAGTCTTTTTATCCTAAATAACTTAAAGCTAGTAACAGTATACATCTGTGTAACTAATAATCTTGCCACATGTTACCCATCAAGTTATTTAACACATAAGCTGTTCACAAGCATACCTTGTAAAAATTTGTTCATTATTATTAATAAGTTTCAAATTTTTCATTTTAGTTACTAATACTAACAGAAATACCCACCCTCTGGGCAGGTATAATTGCTAGTTCTTGCAGAAGGCTATTGGGCCTACGGCCTTTTCTGGAATTGTCTGACAACAATGTACTCATACTTGACATCCATGAGAAAAAATTTTTTTTGAAATTTCAGTTTTAAAACTAGCTATCATCACAGCATTACATCACAGAGTATATATTATTGATGTATTTCTTTGTAGATGAAGTTATCAATGAAAGTGCCTTGCTTTTCTGTTGCAACACTCATGAGATTTTCACTAAAGAAAAATACATAATTTTTTAAAGTTAGTTTTTTGATTGTTTTATATTTGAAACTTACCCCTTTTTGTTTGTAATTTTTATTGGCTAAATCTGAAACATATATTTTTGTGGAAATTTCAATTGTTTTATTTATTGCTCTGCTATAAAAACATTATGAAGTTACGATTGGTGATGATTGGTGCAGTAGTTCCCGAGTTTTGGATGTATACATCGCAAACTCCATTATAATAAGATAATAATAAATAAAGAATACACATCAAAAACAAGAAATATAATACTTTTCTGGGTCTTCTTTTTTTTGGCTGTCAACTGTTAATGAAACTTAACCCTACCTTTTTATACTAATGGCACTGTTGCACGAAATAATTTTTTATTTAATAAAATACTGCACTTAAGAACACAGAATAATAACACGTAAAAAGCAGACAAAATCCCAAAACTATCATAATCTTTCCAACTTTCTAGCTATGCGAAAAGAACTGTTAAAAATTCAGCTAAGCTCATTGTTGCATTTCCTGTGGGAATAAAGTTTGAACTAGAAGCAAAACAGAAAATGCTCTCTACAGAAAACAATGTAATATAATACGTAATTTGATAGATTAAAATTTTGGCTTTCTATTGGTTATAAACAACATAATATTAAACATCAGAGAGAACTATTGGCAATTTGTGAAAGAGAGGATGTGATAGGTGGACGTGGCAAGAGGGGTCTGATATTCTAGTCTATGGCTCTGTAAGCAAATAAGACTGAAGGCTATAAAAATTATGCTTTGCCTGAATAATAACAATATCATAATGAGTAATTTACATTAACTTACCTAATTCTCAGAAGAGGAGTAAATAAATTAGAAAAGAAGGGATACATAGAGAGCAATTGTCACAATTGTCGTACTAGGGTGAGATTAAGTATTTTTTAAAATATTTCCTTATAAAATTAAGAATGTAAAACTTATATAATACCAAAATTTGATTTATTAACTATATATTTTTCTGCCAAATTTATTTAGCTATCATGATAACAAAGTAGTCTGATTAAGTTTTAAATGTAAATAAAAAGTTGTGGCATGGGCACTTTGACCTGCCCATAATGAGAGGATTAAGCAAAAGTTTTAGTCATGTTGTGTAACTGATATCTTGGTTGAATCTCTATTTGTTTAGTGGACCCATCAAACATATATTGTTTTACATGTATAAAACACAGTTTCTTTACAAAGTGGATAGCTAGCTACTTATTTATTGCAAATTGGAATCATGATGAGTTTCAATAAAAAACAGTATCACCCTTATCAATGATAGAAAACATGTTTCATTATTTGATTACATTCACATAGTTGTATCAATATTAGTACTTTGCCAAGTAGAAATTACGATTACATTGGAAAATTTACAAAAATGTTTCAATAAAATAAGCTTTCTTTTTTTAAAAATGTGCAAATGGCAACCACCAGGGGAACACTGAAAATGACTAACATGTTAAATGAAGGGTAGTTTGAAAATGTCTTTAAAGAAACAAAAACAAATTGAAAGTAGAAAGATTATGTGAGAACAACTGATTAGCAAATTCCATTAAATTGCCTAACTCTATTGATATTTATATTAGACTCCTCTGTGGGAATACTGGAGGTGGCATGCAAAAATTCATAGGTTTGAGATTTGGAATCACCCAGAATCCATGTATATCAATAATAGAAATACATTACCAACACATGTTGAAACATTAATCTACAAAAATTAGTTGCAGTAATTATTCACAAAGTCTGTACATAAAGAACCAGGAAGACAAACAATTTCCAGTTAGAAAGTTTCCTTCTGCTTTCTTTTATAGAAATAATGATTGTTCTCTTCATCCATTTCCAGGAAAAGTTAAAAATATTAGCTTCTCTTTAGTTGTTTTATCATTTTATCACTTCGAACCCATTGATACAATATTTCCCATGTACATATATGAAACACACACAAAATATTGACCCATACACCTCAAATTAATCTGGTCCCATATAGATCATTTTCAAAGATTACTAAAATTTCAACCAATTCTGTTCAGTCAATAACATGATTTTAGTTTTCAGGCATTTGTACTTACCAGAAGCACTTTCTAACCCAGATTCAATCTGTTGTAAATCTTGAAATTCAGTTTCTGTTTTCACATTTGAAACACTATAATATGAACTATCCAGGTCATCATCACTGCTGTCATTGAACTTAGAAATAATCTCATGTTGTGGTAGATCACTAGGTTGCTCTGTTTTCACTCTAAAAAGTATGTTCTAAAATAAAAACATATTCAAAATGTCAATAAAAAATACCTAACATTTTCAAGTCAATAATTTATAACGAACAGTACTAGAACTATTTTAAATACCTAAAACAGTTTTTATTTCTTTGAGCCAAAACATTAACATGGAAAAATTTAGAGAAAAGCAGTTTCACTTCTTTTAATTGAAGTTTCAGATTTTGGATTAACAATATTTGAAGACAAGAAATTAGCCCCAAACAAATCCAGAAAGATTTTATCAACTAAATAAAGACAAAAAGCCACCCGTCTGACACACAAATATCTTGGTCATTGCAGTACTGATCAACACACAACTTGCACAAAATGATGGGACTTTCTGCTCCAACAGGCAAGTTTGTCTTTCTAAAATTCTTCCAGCCATACATATATATATATATATATATATATATATAAAATTGATGATACACTACTTTGGGCATATAATGATAGTTGAGGGTAGATTGATAAATAACTTAACATTGTCTTGTAATTCACTCCTAAGGTTGATGTTGCAACATCGAAGCATGTAGAGTCGTCAACCTTTTGAAGGCCATAGATAGGCCTAAATAAAATGCTTTTAATTGTGTACCAATTTTAAAGTTGAATATTATTTATGATTTTAATTTATCTTTTATTTAATTTACTTTAAATTTATTGAGCTGTTCCACAATATTTCCAAATATCTTAGCATTGTTTCTGAAATAATTTAAATTACTTTTTTTTCGGTGATTGTTTGATATACAAGACTGTGTAGTGTAGGCATTATTATTTAAATTATTTTGTGATTGTTGAGTTTTCATAACAAGAGAGTTAAAAACAATTATTTTCAAGATGATAGTTATGACAAGTTTGGTTACGTAACTTGGTAAGAGTCGTACGTTGTGTTTGCAATTCATTGGTGTCGAGGCTACAGAAAATTCTAGAGGCCTCAATGATAAACATATAAATAGCAGTGACCAAACAAGCAGAAGCAGAGTAAAAGTAAAGTCAAGTGAAAGAGAAGTTCAGTCAGAGAAAAGTTAGAAAACATGAAGTTAACCATCGTGGGAGTGAATAGCCTTAACGGTTGATATTTTAAAGCGAGATGAACAGTTTGATAGAGATAAGGAGAAAATTTTGTCTTTTAACAGGGTATTCTAAACTAATTGAACCCATCTGTGTGGAGTTTGATGAAAAGAAGACAATTACTGGAAGTTAAGGATACAACTGTGGTAAGCTGTAAGGCAGCACAAGTGAATTATTCACTGATACTATTGTGATAAAAGTAGAGAAAAATAGTTTGGCTTGTCAACTGGATTTAAAGCAACTGAATTGGCCTAATTGGACTTTTGACAAGAAGAAGAGAACTGCATAGTGTTTAAGATACAATTATGATCTCCATAGTGTAAAGAATTTTTTGTACATAAGTATAACTTGTTTTGAATTTATTGCTGTCCATTTATTTTTCAAATTTATCGCCAACAAGTCACATACACCTACTGTAGAATAATCCTTAGCCCACACCCTATATATATATATATATATATACTTAAATTCTGCCAGTGATAAGACACAAAACAAATGAGCAAAAGCAAAAATAGTCAAATTATATATTCAAGAAATCTTTATTCACTTTATCCAATTAATCTTAAGACAGGCTACTTCATACCTGGATATATTTAAGAATCCATTTAATTTTCAAACATACTACTTTTAGATTTTAGCATTACTTCAAAACTCTTGAGACATATTTTTGTGAAAAAATAATGGAACATTGAAATTCTGTATTTTTCACTAAATGGCCATAAAATTCAGTACATGAGTGTGTAAAATTTGTTTTGACCATGAGCAATTGTCTTCACATTCAGAACTGTACAAACCTGAGTTTCTCACCAAGCACAAGCAGAACTTTCGAGAGTTTGACAACAGCAGCGCAAATTTTACAACAATAAGCATGTCAAGTAGGCCTCTTACATTCATGACTTGATGTGACTGACAGTTTCATGTCTTTATCATAAAAATGGGATGTCCTGTGTTTCCCAAGAACTTTTCTTGGGACACTCGGACAAACTACCTAAAAATGGGACTATCCCATCAAAATTGGGACATCTCTTCAACATACCCTAACAAAATTTCAGTAAAACAAAACATCTACAATTTCATGAGTTTCAATGTTCTGTAAAACATTACACATAGCAATCATGTAGTGTTTACATTAGTTCTAAAATAAATAGCTCACAGGCTGACATGGTGATTTATTTCTTTTGACATTGAAATTACAGCAACAAACTATAAAACTAAAACAAAATTGAGTAAAAAACTCAATATTCATTTAGGAGGTCCTAGAGATTATGCAAATAAAATAAGAAAACTATATGATGAAAGTAAGTATTCTTATTCTGACCATAAAAATCAACTTTCATTCAGACTGACATAATAAAGCTCCATAAATTCATTGAAAAAACTTCCATAAAAATACTTTAAGAAAAAAATCAGATTATTTGTGTACAACAGATTTGTAATGTCTGCTAAAAGCTTGCCAAATTTCATGAAGACACATAATAACTTTAGAATTATAGTAAACATCAGCTTCACAAATATGAGGCCTATCAATCTGACTGAGTCCATATACAGGTGGTTAATGAAATATGGCACTGTTAATGGACTTTTTCTACATGTAATTTGTTTCTCCATAAATACTTTAATGTTTGTCAGTTTACAAAGTGTTAAGAGTAAACAGGAGTCAGCCAATGATGTTTTTGCTTTGTATGGTGACTAGTAAAATAATTAGTAATCAATCACTGTGACTGGCAGTTGTTTTTTTGTAGTGGAAAGGCTGCATTATTAGTGCAGCAAATATAATCTACATTTTTTTTTGTGAATTCTAGCGCTATCTGTTTGTTTCTCACATAAACTTTAACTCAATGGCCTGTTTAACAATTAATCACTACATATTCCTTATACTTTAAGTAAATGCTATTTGTAACAGGTTTGTTACTAACAATAAAACAGCCTGTTATACTTTTTGATACAAACTGACAAACAGGAAATGGTAATGAAAGACATAATAAATTATTAGTTATCTTTCTAAGTCTGAAACTTGGCATTCATATAACATAAAAAAACTTCATCATTATTTAATTCTAAAGTCAGTTTACACTTAAAATACCCATATAATTCACACAACTGTGCATTTTAAAAGAAAAATAACTTCTTTTTGACACATCCCAAATCATTCCTAGTTGATTAAACCATATTTGACAGGTCCAAATGCAAAAGTCTAGGAGGAGTTGAAGGACAAACAAAGAAACTTCCCTCAAATTATGGTAAGTTTCTCAACAAACACATTGACATAATGTACAACATTACAACTGTTTTGAGAATTCTAAATGGGTCAAACAAAACTAAATTTTAGTTTCTTTTTACTACAACTGAAGTAATTTTCAAACTAGTATATAGCTATGTTCAAAGGTTCACTGTTGTATCAAAAGCAAAAAGAAACACTAAGAAATTACATGAAGCAGCTCCTTCCTTGCATCACAGCAGACCATTATGGTGAAGCACATGATAACATTAATCTACAATAAAACCTATGTAATATCTGTGGATGCTAACATTAATCTACAATAAAGACTATGTAATATCTGTAGATTGCTAACATTAATCTACAATAAAAACTATGTAGTATCTGTAGATTGCTAGCATTAATCTCCAATAAAAACTATGTAATATCTGAAGATTGCTAGCATTAATCTCCAATAAAAACTATGTAATATCTGTAGATTGCTAACATTAATCTCCAATAAAAACTATGTAATATCTGTGGATTGCTAACATTAATCTACAATAAAAACTATGTAATATCTGTGGATTGCTAACATTAATCTACAATAAAAACTATGTAATATCTGTGGATTGCTAACGTTAATGCTACAATATGAACAATGTAGCATCTGTGGACTGCTGACATTAATTCTACAATAAGAACAGTGTAACATCTGGGGAATGCTAAAATTAATGCTACAATAATTTCTTCAACTTGTGACTATAAACATATCATCACTAATTAGACTCTAGCCAAAAGACATCATTATAGCTATGTAGTCATTTTAATACCATCTGTAAGAGTTTTAATCTACAAATTACCTTAGTTTTCTCTATTGCTACATCATAGTTTTTTTCTTGTTCTTCTTTTGCTGCACCAAACTTCAGTGTGTTATCTGAAGACCTTTCTTCTAAGTAACTAGCTTCTTCTGTTGCTAGAAGTATAAATAATGTAGATTTGTCTACAACAAGACTGAATATACCTTATGCTTCACTAAATTATAATCAAACTCTACACAGTATATTTAACTGATAAACCTTTTGTATAAGTTCCTCTGTGGTTTCCAGGTACACTGAAATCAACCTGAAAAGTATCAATTATCAGCAAAGTGCAGGTTCTGAAAATGTTATGCAGAGAATAATTTCCAACACGAAGAGCAAAGGAAAACAAGAAACTCAAATATAAAATATGAAGTCTTTATTCATACACAGTGTAACTTTAACTTTCTGGTGGGACAGACAGCAGGATAAAGTAATGTCTGCATTGTACAAATCTTACATCTTTAGAATTGAATTGAACTTTAAACTTGTACTTACCTCTGTAACACTTTAAACCCTTTCTTGCTGGTTTATTGTCTGTCAACAACCACATGACTTTTGGTTTAAAAGTCCTTGATGTCGTGTATACGTGTACCACCTTACTCAAACTCCTCCACTGTACCATATTTTATATGATTTGCTGCTTTCTTGCTGCAAGCCAGATTTATTTGTTTTTAATTGTGATGACATAATACATTATTCAAAACTGTGGGGAGGTAGGTAGGAATATATCTCAGAAATAAGTACTTGTTCAACATTCATCTCCAATATTTAAAATTCGAATTAGGTAGACTTATCTCTGAAATACTGCACATCACAATACCTACACCGAGGTGGAGGAGGAAATTGGAGAGTGTGATATTAAAAGACAAAAATCACCAGATGCTGACCACTAGGACAAGAGAGGTCAAACACTGACCATAACAACCTTTAGTATTGTTACCAAGCAGAGCTTGAACAGAATACAGAAGAACTGAGTGAAAAACAAAACAGCCTCTGAAGAGAAAGCAAAAAAATATAGACATTCTTCTCAGCATGACGCTTCTTCATTTAAATATCCTTCATTAAAAATACCTGGGGTAGGTGGGGTCAAGAGCATGGATATATCTGGGTTCCCATGGACATTTTTAGATGTGGCCCCAACTAGTAGATAAACATGTAGCCAGGGTCAGGGTGCAAAGATTCTCAATTTAGAAAATCAGTAATTAAGTACAGACTGGACATAATTCTTGGGCTGAAATACCCATCATCTGAAACTGAAAAGGACAACAAAGTCATGCAACCAACCTATTCAGAAGGTACTCAAGGAGAATCAAAAAGAGTCAGATTATCCTAAGGACGGGTTCAACAGGTGAAGAGCAGTCTAATGAGAACAATAATTAAGGAAGAAAGAGAAGCTAAAAATGAAGTTGTAAAGTGTACCCAATCCTGAATGGAGCCATGAGACATCACTGAAGAATGAATACCATGTTTCCAATGCCTTGAAATGCTATGCAAGAATGTGCATTGAGGTAGGAAAAGTTTTCACAACCTAACATCACACTCTGTCCACTTACAGATGGCATCATCCTCTCCTGAAGCACCACCACAGAGGGCAGAATCATGTCTAGAAGAACTGTAGAAGTATATAAAGGATGACATAGGAGAGTCCTACTGGAAAATTCCACCTAAACATTGTGTATCATGTTAAAAGATAAAGACATTAAAAGTTGTTTTTTACATAAAATGTAATTGGAATTATCTGTTAAGAATTCCACAGAAGTCACATGAAATCCCCAAAACTCAAGAAACAGTAATAATTATATGACATAAGTAACAGTTTAAAAATTTATTTTAATTTATCCATATATTAGCTTACAGAATGTTCTCCAAAGAGATGCAGTACTGCAATGTGGATGCCTAAGTTATCACCAAATTCAAAATCTGGGGAAATCTAAAATTCATCTTTATGGTGATCAGGTGTCTAAATTAAAACAAGATGGAACTTCTAGCAATAGCCAATACGTTAATGTTGCTAGAAGAAAATAAGGAGTGTGATTCATCATTAGGTACAAACAACCTGTTGCAGAACCTCCTGAATTATTTGGTGTATGCAAGATAACAACAAACACTGACTGCGTATAAAAAAAATACTTTAAACAAGAATCTGAGTCAGTCAGAATAGGTAACAGAATTGGTGACAATAAATGGCGACCTTCTCTACAGGTCATGTTTTAGGTAAGAAGGTTCTATCAGGATACAAGTATAAAACCTGATGAGAAAATATGGTAGATGATGCAACATGGCCACAGATACTTGGACATATTCTACCTGACAAGTACAAAATATGTGATGAGAAAATGACAATAAGGAAATTATTTTGCAAAAGACTCAAAAGTAGAAGTTAAGAGCTATAACACTAAATCCAAGTACCATTTTGGAGAATGCCAGAGAACTCAGAAACATTACAGATGAAATGCGTGGAGCATATCTATGAATAACAGGAGCAACAGAGATTAATAATGTTCCATTGGGACCGATAAACAGCAACATGCAAACAAGGGAAGGAATGGGCTAACATTCAAGCAATCAAGAAGAGATTGTTTGTTTTTGAATTTCGCACAAAGCTACACGAGAGCTATCTGCACTAGCCATCCCTAATTTAGTAGTGTAAGACTAGAGGGAAGACAGCTAGTCATCATACCAAACGCCAACTCTTTGGCTACTCTTTTACCAATGAATAGTGGGATTGACCGTCACATATAATGCTCCCATGGCTGAAAGGGTGAGCATGTTTGGTGAAATGGGGACTCGAACCCACAGCCCGCAGACTGCAAGTCAAGCTCCCTAACCACATGGCCATGCCGGGCATCAAGAAGAGAATCCAAATGTACTGACAAGGGTCTAAGCAAAAGTGCAACTCAAGCACTGGTTGAAATTTTTCATAAAATTATATAATTATAGATAGCTTTTCCAGTAAACTTGAGATATAAAACTTTCATTATGCACATTTATATAATATTAAACTGTGAAAGCTCAAAATCAAATGATACTAATAAGCGAAAAAAAAAAATTATATTGTTTAATGTTAGCAAAATACTTTAAGTCTCCTAACAACTGTGTTTTCTTTTCAAAATTAATTTTCTTTATTCTTCAAATAACAAAACTGAATTAATCTGTTTGCTCTGTACAAAAATGTAAATAAAATATGCCAAACTATTGCTTATTTAATATAATAAACATCACTGCCTCTTCTAATATTACAACATGTACACATAGTGTGTGTGTGTGTGTGTGTGTGTGTGTTAATTTTGGTGTTCTGGTATTAAATCACATTTTGATAACAACAAAATGTTTTATTAATTAAACTAATACAGTGAAAAAACTATTAACCATGGAGTTATCAATAGTTTCATTGTTCTGTGCAAAATATTAAAGTATAAATTAGAACTTAGTAGTGTAAGCTAGATTTTTGTAACATTACTTACCAACTTTTTTCTTGCTCTTTCCTTAAGGAACACACATGTATTTAGCAAAAATCATATAAACAGTTTGGAACAAGTGTTAATAAATGTTAAAGTAAAACATTTTACAAGTTTTACAACAGCACATTTTTTGCATGTCTCATATTTATTATAAAATGTCAGCTTTCCTGACATCTTTGCCATCTGCATTCTCTAATGAAAAATGTATAATTGAATACTAATTACAATCATATTAATTTTCTAGAAAATAATTGTACATATAAAGTTAGAGTTAAACTGAAAATTAATTTTTATGAGATAAAAGAATGATTAAAAAAATTATTTTATAAAGTTGAAACTGTGAAGCTATTATGTTGTGAAATAAAATGTTTATACAAAAAATATCTATATAAATACCAGGGAAAATGCAGTTAGTGACAAGCTAACAGGAAAGCCAACTCAAAGAAGTTTACACCAGCAAACAGAAGTTCAGACTCAAGAAATTAAAATGCAAATATTTTATTATATAGATCTTCAACACTTCATTACATCAGTAATAAAATACCACAATTACTTTCTAATATACATTCAGGCTTCAAAAAATAAATTCAGAAGCTCTCAACATGTTTCATGTTTAACTCAGATTGCTATTTGCTCAATTTGACTCACTCAAGTTGGTTAAGTAACCAGATATTGCTAGTTCTGGCTAATTAATGATCTTGATCTGACAACGGTTTTTATATTATGATTTCCTGATGCAATCATACTGCTTCTTTACAAAATTTTAGCTACACAGAACTAAATCAGTTCTCGTGTACAGAAAATGATGCATGTTGTCATTGTCCCACAACCATGAAATAATGCCCAAGGATGGGCCTTGTTTGCGAGTTGAAATGAATATTTCAATATACATTGTTAAAAAGTGCTTTATTAGCAGTTGCTATTGTGTTAATCCTTTAGCTCATTTAATAGTCTGGCACTTGAAATGTCTCAGGTTTAACCTCACCCACAAGTAATGGTATAGAACATAACTACAACAGTGTCATTGGTATTAAGGTTTCTCATAACAAACACCAAAATATGCAACATAATGCAAAATTATTTTATTGGTACATGTTTTTGGAACAGGAAATCAAACCACTGTTTAAAATAAGAAACTTCCAAGCAATGATGGAAAATTCAGACATGCAGCTAAAGTAAAACAGGTAACTTTCACACTATATATTTGTGTTGAGAAAAATGCTAAATATTTAAATTCTAAAGATAACACTTACTACTTGTTAAAGTTTCATCTTCATTTTTCACCAATTTGATATCCAACAAAGTATTCTGTTCATTTACAGAAAAGGGTTCAACCTTTATCTTTGATACTTCCATGGTTCCATCAAAAAATTCACCTTTATATTCTTATCAATTCATGCATTTAAAACTACAAAGAAACAGGTTATGAATTAGAAGGTGCATTCTTCAAAAATATTACAAAATAACCAATAAATAATGATCTCAAAATTCACATTATTTTTTAACTGATATAAATTCATATATTCTAACTTTATACTAAAACTATTACAAATCCTCTTTATCTAACATAACTGACTTTGAAATAAAATTTGTAGTAAGAGAACAAAATGATTTTTACAAAGAATTTCAAGTAGTTTAAACATGTATAAAATGAATGGAGAGTAGGTTTTCAGATTACACTAAAACTTGACATTACTGGAACTACTGAAATATTACACATTGTATCTTTATACCATTTTGGGCTTGAAAAATTTTGATAGTTTTTTATTTCACAAATTCCTAATGGATGTACTAATATATATATTTATGAGCAAAAATCATATCCTAAACATCAAAAAACTAATTCGGTTGATTACATAATATGTTTAAAGGCATTGCCTAAAGATAATAATTACTAATTTTTTGTAATCTTGATTCTTTAACATACATCAAGCGAACAATAATATAAGCATAGTTAAATGATGAACATAAACCTTATACATATCAGAACTATTTTGTTTAACATTAAGATATATTTGACTTCTGCTAATTTCAAATGAATGAGAGTTATAATATGTAAAAGATAGAAACCTTAATAATTATCAACTTTATAAACATAATTCCTTAATAGAGCTGGACAATAATATATATAAAATTGATTACCTACAAGCATCAATTACATCCATTAGTGTTACATGAAACAAGAAATTAATCAAATCTAAGTTATCAAAATAATGCCATTACTATACTGTGCATTTATTGAGTTGCAATGTTTGTAAACATGGATTTCTTTTATTATGATCTCCAAATGAAATAAGATGTCATCCAATCAAAAATATTTACTCATCAGTCAGTATGGTAGGTGAGTGCAAAATATACTTATGGCTAAAGTCATTATTTAATAATATTTTTATGTTTATCTTTTACAAACAACATACATAAATTAATTAGCTTGTTGACAACTTAATTATTCATAACTGCAATCATGATATATTTTAAATACACAATGCTGTTACCTATATTGGTGATAGTAAAACATGTTTTCACTATATAATTATCAATTTATTTGATTTACAAAAGATCAGTGGCAGCTTACTGCATATGTAAAAAAGAAACACAATGGTGACTGCATGATGGTATTTAGTTGATATTAGCAACGTCCATGTTATCTCTAAAAAATTTTTAGACAAAAAATATGTTTTTTGCAAAATGTGCAAATGATGGCTTTCAAGGCCAGGCTTTCTTAAGTGTCCAACTTGATGTCTCCAGTGTTCTGGGGCAAATTTCTTTAAGTTACGTACCTTACACAAACATATAATAATTTCTAAATGATAGATGATGGATTGAGCTTTCCAAACATATATAATATGTTGAGTTTGTGTTAAGTTTTTCTAGCAAACCAAGGAAATAAACAATAGCAGTGTATTAAAAGTAGCATGTTGCCAGCAGAAAAATTTAATTTCAAAGCAATAACATACACACACAAGAATTTAAATATGATTCAAGCCTTTATTGTGATTAATTAATAAGCATTTATGTTTCAAAAATTTATTATTAGCTGATTATCCCATTACTTTTTCACATATAAACAAATATCCAAAATAACATGTTGCTGAAATCATGTGTTCTCCTTTATGGTTGTTTATTTTCAAGACAATAATTATAAATTATGAGTCTAAAATCAATCTGGAAAGTATATAATTTGATTATACCCCAAACATAGGATATTAAGAGATTTTTGGGTATGTCCATATGGAGCTTGTAATAAAATTAGTTTTTTAAGCACATGATCTCCTTTGCGCATATATCTGGTATAAATACTCAAATTATATCATTTTGTTATATCATTACACACAACACCCAAGACATTTGTTATTATCAGTAACTGAAAGAGTAAATTGCATTCTTCAACAAAAATCACTGGACATGAAATTGCATGAACTCCTTTATGTGTTCTCCTTTACTTCAATTTTGCTTCAGAGGGGAATATATACAGAGCCATCTCAAAAGTAAATAGATACCATGATTTTTTTTCAATAGTCATTTATCTCACATTATCAACTTGACAAAAATGTTTACAAATGTGCATCAATACTTAGTCAATTTGCCACTAGCATTTATCAGTGCTTTGACTCGTTCTGGCATGGAATAGATGAGTTCCGTTATTTTATCCTGTAGGATCTTCACCCAGGCTGCATGCAAAACATCAAGTAGCTCTCCCTGGGATGCTGGTTTTCTGGAACTTCTTCTCACTGCTCGAGCAAGTATGGCCCAGACATGCTCGATGGGGTTCATATCAGGTGACTGACTTGGCCATGGGAGCCATTGGATGCCTTTCTTAATCAAATGACTATTGAATAAACATTATGGTGTCTACTTACTTTTGAGATGTCTCTGTAGAGTGCATAATGCTTTTCCCACCAAATTTAGTTTCCACCATGTGCAGATGATAAGGGTAGGGTGGATTTGAAATATATTAGTCACAAATCAACTTATTTTCCTGCAAGAAAGGTTCTTTCAAAGTGGGATTACATAACAGGTGTGTATCTCTTTAACTGTATAACTAACATTGAAATAGTACGAGTTGTGGTAGTTTTAGGCTTAAATGACTGATAAATTACAAAGCTAAATCTGTGAGCAATAATTAGGGACATGGTGAGATGCATGTAAAGGAGTTCATAGAATGGGTAAAGGAGATCACCATTTTAATTCAACTCCTTATATATGCTTTGCACTTTTTTGTATAATGCGACATTATAATAAAAGCTTACATTTATGGTATGTGGAAGTAGTCTAAGACAAAATAACTTATTATTATCCTGCTATAGCTGGATTTACTGTACAAATGTAAAGGAGATCACATTAATTTTTACACCTAATGTCTTGTCTAATATACAGAGGTGATATTCATTTCAGTGATGGGTGTCATATTTGTATTTTTAGAATAGATGGTAAACAAAGTTGTCAGCTGAAATATTATCACAGAAAAAAGGCAGAAGAAGAGAAAACCTTACAATTTGTTTGCTTTTTGCCTTTTTATTCTAGGTACAATATAATCTGGTAAAGGAGAACACATTTGAAAAAAATAGTCATCTTCATCAAGGTGGGAAAAATATGACAGAATGTAGCCTAAGTGCTAGATTTTTGGCACAAGGTTTTTTCAGTACTTATATTTCCAACATTTTTCCAGTTAAAAAATGGACATTAAAAAAAGCCTAGCCCTTCAATAAATGTCTATCAAATGAAACTGAAGATAATTTGAAAATTACTAAAAAAAACATGTTAGAAGTCTGTACACCCCATTTTTGTGTTATTTTGCATTTACTGAAAAGGAGGACTTTGGAGTGTACTAATCAATTAATTGAACATAGTCAACTAATGAGCCTATCACTCGATTAACAAATACTAATAATTAACCATATACTGCTGAGGATAAATCAATCATGTCACTGAAACAATGCTAGTAGTAAAATTAATAGAATTTTAGGTGGTATATTTATAGATATTATGATTAAAATTCAAAAGAAATATTTCTTTCTATAAACCAGAAGTTGGGCCTCACTTGTAAAACTGTGTGCAGTACTGACTGAGATATCAAACAAAGGATATTGTCTTACTGAAAATGGTTCAGAGGGAGAATACTAGGATGATTCCAGAGATGAAAGGGGTGTTTTAAACAAATAAGTCAAGATCTCTTAATTTTCTTTTAAGAAAAATAAAAAAGGAAGAGGTGTTCTGACAGAAGTTAAATATGTTTTCTGATAGATCATTAGTATAAAGACCCAATTTGCTTGTTCCGTATTCTGATAACAATAGGATGTGTGTGTGTGTTTTATAGCAAAGCTATATCTGGCTATCTGCTGTGTCTACCTAGGGCAATCGAACCCCTGATTTTAGCATTATAAATCTATATGCTTACCACTAGGATGAGAAAAGTTACATCTAAATTTATAAAAGACATGCTACGCTCCAATTAAATCAAGTTTAAATGTTTGCTTTTTCTCATGAATGGTGTTCAATGACAACCTTGAACTAAACTGAAGGACCTATTAGTCCCTTGTTTTCCAAGCTATCTTATCAGAAGCAACAGAAACCAGAACAAAAAACATTTACTATGTCAGTAAAAAGAATTATGAAAAAAACCACATTACCATAACAAATTACTTGCTACCTTATTTCATATCCATACAGATGTTTATAAAGCCTAGATCAACCATTTAAATGGGGTTGTAAAGAAGTGTAAATGTGGTACTTAATAAATCCACATTTATATTACTTTACCATACATAATGAAAGAATAATCCAAATCACAGTAATATACTACTAATATGAAATTATGGTGATAATTTAATGTAGCATATTGTCACAAACATGACCTTGCAATTCTATTCAACAACTGTAAACTGAAAAATGAACATATGATCTTATAAAGAAGTATAAAACATTCTTAAACTGTTTAAAGTATATTAATTATGTTTCAACAATTATATTTAAAATAAATGCAACTTGAAAGGTACACAGTACAAAGGTGTAACGAATTATCTATGTAGTAAAAATGTTAATTTATTTACATATATACTGCATACTTTTATGTTCGTTTGTTTTATAACAAAGCCACATTTAGCTGTCTACTGCGTCCACCGCGGAGATTCGAACCCTGGAATTTAGCGTTATAACATTGTAAGTGAGTAAACTCATCGCTGTACCGCTGAGGGACTACTTACTTTTAAAAATGAAATGATGCAAACTGTTTCACGTGTGAGTCCTATTATTAAACATAAAAAATTCAATGGTTTTCGTTTTAATTTCTTACGCTTCAAGATAAAAATAAATAAAACTATTTAATTTCTTTAAGAAATGTGCGCAATGCATTACTAGCTTAAAGGAAGTTTCCATTATTTACTAATAGGGTATAGTTTGTGAATGGAGCACAAAATGGCCCACAGTGTTTAATTCTTATATTCTACTTATTTATTTACATATATTATGCAACGTTATTAAAATTAAAGTAAAAATACCCTATTAGAAATATGATTTTGTTTGAGAAAAATACATCAATATTTTCAAAAATTAGAATATAGTAAATTATTAATAAACTTTAAAATTATTATTATAAATGTAATTTTTTATTAGATTTCTTCGTAAATTTTAATGAATAAATAATATTTTTTTTAATGTCAATATTTTTACTTCATGCAAGTTTTCCACACTTTTTACTTGCGAATTTGATGTGTTTCAATGCGCAAGCGCAACGGGAAGTACACTATTTTGAAAGAAGTATAGACGATTCAAATAATATCACGTTCACGGAGTTTCACACGTTTTCTAATAAAGTGATGGGACAATTTTGATAAGATATCACGGAATAAGGAAAACTGTCATTTTCCTTAAGTAATAAAATTAATGCTTACCAGCAGATAGTACATTCTCATGAAGAAGTCTCCGTAGTCAGTGGCGTAGCAAGAGGGGGCAGTTGCCCCCGGGCGCAGGTGTGAAGGGGCGCAAAATTTCCTCTGGCCTATAATGCCCATTAATTAATAATTATGCCCTCCCCTATGATATAGTGCAACTGCCCTACCCTGAGTAAATACGACACAGTGTTACGCTATTTGTGTGTACTACGCTTGCAGTTTTAACTTTTAAAAGCCGCTCATGAAATACAGTGAGACCGAATTGACGTACAGAAGTAAATTACACCATTCCATCATTCATCTGTAGATCAGATGCAAGTTCTATAGTACAACGTACAAGTAAATGTATGTTTAACAAAAAGAAAATACGAGATTGATGTAACATATTAACTGGTGTGCAAGATTGGCAATATATGCAACAGGCAAGGCCTAGATCTAGATCTAGTAAACGTACTAGACTTTAGGTCTAATTGCAGTTATAACTTTATTTCTAGACCCTAGGTCCA